ACCTTAGAGTACGCGCGAAGGCCATAGACGTCGACTGCCGGAGAGCCCTTTTTTACCAATGTCTTCATGGCCTCGACCGTATGCTGACCACAGACAGCATACCAATCGAACTCCGAGGAGTCTCTTTCCAAGAATTCGGTCGGTGTTATCCGCCTACCCTGCCCGCCAACGATGTCGTTGCGGTCAACCGGCGCAAGCACGAGGTCAGGCCTATCCCACGCCCCCGGTTCCGTGGTGATGGAACTCTCGATGGCATTCACGATGCCTCGCACAGTGTTCGCAGACAAAGAGCGGTGGTTAAAAAGAATATTCCCGCGGGGAATGTGTTTGATTTTCATGACGTCCACAAGAACAGGAAGGAATTTTTGCTTAGCAAAACCCCGCTCATTGTACTCGAGGAAGAAACAACGCGTCGTGTCGATGGGCGCAGCGTGCTGAAGCGGTTCATCACCATCGTCGGGCATGCGAGGGCCCACTCCCCCGCCCTCATCCCCTGAGTCCCGCAGTTCTTCTGCCCTCACTATCTGCTTACCTTTTCTTGCGACACCACGACCGCCGCCACGACCGCCAGATCTTCCCCCCTGGCTGCTCTTCCGAGGAGGTCTCGCCTCCTGGGATGCCACCACAGTTCCACGAGCCTCATTAACAGCGTCAGTCCTCGCTTGTCTCTTGTGAGCGGAAGCAGAAGGAGAAGTTTCTCTTGTCCGTTTCCTCGACTTTGATCCTCCCTGCTCCTGCGAGTCATGCCCACCCTGACTCCCGCCTTGCGAATGCCATATCGCAGGGGACGACAAGGGCCGACCAACAGCCGCTCCCACAGAACTGGTGGGGATGTCGCCAGGGCGATGCTCCAACGTGGCACCGACGTCGTCATCGGCAAGCATGTTTTGGTCGTGCATGTTCTCATCCCCAACGTCCATATACTCGCCATTACCGTCGTCTTCACGTGGACCGCAGCTTCCCCCATCTTCTTCCTCCTCGTTTCGCTCAGTAAGGGCAGTCGCACCTTCCTAGGCACTGTCACGCGCAGCATTGCGTCCGTACAGATTTCTGTCGTCGTCCTCCGTAGCCTCGCTGGAACATTGAGCGATATCGTGACCTCCCCTCACCGTGGGCAAGGGCGAGGGAGACGCGGCTGGCAAAGGCGGAGCTGGACAAGCAGCCAACTGTTTCCTCTTCCCAACCGGCGCGGATGGCGTTTGTCGCGATTTCCTCGAGCTCGTGACAAAGGGCACGAAAGCGCAGTCGGCTTGCTGGTCCATAGGCAGCCTCGAGAAGGCTTCCCTGTACTCCTTAACAACGCCTGGCAGTTGGTCCGCCGGGCTGCTGAATTTCACTAAGGGTTTGGTGCGCTCCAAGGAACTTTCAACGACAGGAAGGCAGCCAGTGACGCGATAGCCGTTCATTCTACTGAGGAACTGTTCCGCAGTCAGCATGCGAAGCTCGGTGTCGTCCCCGCGCACGTCAAACGCTTTCATGGAGAAAGCCTTGACGCCGTAGCCTTGAAAGAGCCGCAATTCAAGGCCGACCTTCTTGTCTTCCTTGACCCAATTTGTGCCATCCTTGTCGAAAACTGACGTAAGAAAGAAGGTCCTGAACGACCTCCCGTCGTAGGTGTTCCTGCCGCTCTCAGATTTTTCAACACCCCCACAGCAGTACCACGTCGCACTATTGTCGTCGCTCAAGAAGACGACGGCCCCACACCCAGGCCTATGCAAACCACCAACCCAGTCCAGAGCCCATGGTTTGTTGTTGTAGATTTTTGACCTGCCACGAAGCAGAAGGTTGACCTAGAGGGCACAAACAAAGGAAACGCACAAGCAAAGAACAAATGAGGAACAAACAGAAGCGCTTCGCATGTGAAGTCGACCCTCGTTTCTGGAAAGGGGTCCGGCGTTCCCTAGACGCCCGCCCCCCCGACCCTCATTTCTGAAAGGGGATCCGACGTTCCTTGAACACCCAACCCCCGACGTCTCCGGAAAGGGGGTCCGGCGTTCCCAGAACGCCCGACCCCCGACAGGCGTTTATGGAAGGGGGTCCGGCGTTCCCAGAACGCCCGACCCCCGACCGTCGTTTATGAAAGGGGGTCCGGCGTTCCCAGAATGCCCAACCCCCGACCGTCGTTCATGAAAGAGGGTCATTTGCTCCCAGAACGGCCGACCCTCGGGGCATTTATGAAAGGGGGTCATTTGCTCCCAGAACGGCCGACCCTCGGGGCATTTATGAAAGGGGGCCATTTGCTCCTAGAACGGTCGACCCCCGACCACATCTGAAAAGGGGTCCGGCGTTCCCTAGACGCCCGACACCCCGACACCCCGACCCTCGTTCCCTAGACGTCCGGCGTTCGACGACCGTTGCGTGTGCGGGTCTGGCGTCCGCTAAATAGCAGACCCCACCAGCGTGCCTGTCGGCACGGTAGTTGGCCGGACCCCTCCCTCGCCCGCGTCCTTGACGGAACCCCGTGGCGTTTCATGTCCGTCCCTCCCCCCCCCCTCCCTCCCCGTCGCCGGCAACAGCACCAAGGGGATCCGGCGTTCCGGGAACGCCGGACCCCCTTTGAGCTGCGGGGGAAGAAGTGGGTCCGTCCGCACCCCTCGATGGCCACAACACAAAGGGGGTCCGGCGTTCCCGGAACGCCGGACCCCCTATGTGCGGCGGGGGAAGACGGGAACGCCGGACCCCCTTTGTGCCGCAAGGGAGGACGGGGGTCCGAGATCCGATCCGACGATGGGCATAGCACGAAGGGGGTCCGGCGTTCCCGGAACGCTGGACCCCCTTTGTGCTGTGGGGGATGAAGGGGGTCCGCCGCATCCCCTCGATGACCACAACACCAAGCCCCCTCGGTGCCCCTCGCTCCCCCGAAGCGCGAAGGGGGTCCGGCGTTCCCGGAACACCGGACCCCCTCCGCATTGCGGGGGGGGGGGGGGG